CGTCGTCGTCGCCGTCGTCGTCACCGTCGTCGACATGTTCGTCATGGTCCTCGTTAGTCGTCGTCGGCTTCCGTCGTCATCGTTGTTGTTGTCGTCGTCATCGTCGTTGTCGTCGTCGTCGTCGTCATCGTCGTCGCCGCCGTCGTCGTCCGTCGTCGCCGTCGTCGGTCGTCGACGCTCTCTGCCCTAGATTTGAAGATCTGCGCGTCGCTTGGATCAGCCCCGCAAGAACGAACACCGCAATTCTGGGTCAAGCGTTGCCACGCAGCGAATCGACCATACTAGTATGTTTTCCGTCCCTCAGGCGTTGCCGCGCGACAAGTAGGACGGAAAGGTATTTTCGGCGCCACCCAGGCATTGCCACCTGACAAGTAGAGCGGAGTAGTGTGGTATTCACTCTGAGGTGTTACCACGTGACGAATCATGCTTTTCCACCCCCAGGCGTTGACGAGGGACGAGTAGAGTAGAACTATATATATATATATATATATATATATATATATAGTTGCCGCCCCCATGGCCACTTTTGGTCTATGCGACTTTTAAGCCTTCACGGCGTTGAAGACAATCCAAGGAGCCCCCAAGGAGGCCCCAACACGGCTCAAGAGGCTCCCAAGATGCGCCCAAACGGCCCAAGAAGGCGCCAAGACGGCCCCCGAGGCTACCAAGACGGCCCAAAAGGGCCCCAAGAGGGGCCCAAGACGGGGAGCCCGAACCAAAAATCCGAGCCTTCCGCCCCAAGAAGCTCCCTCGAGGCCCCAAGAGGCCCCCAAGAGGCCCCAGGAGACCCCGAAGAGGCCCCGAAGAGGCCCCAAGAGGCCCCCAAGAAGCCCAACAGATGCCCCAAGAGAAACCAAAACGGCCCCCTCCTCCACCTTCTCCTCCTCCTCCTCCTCCTGCTCCCCTCTCTTGCTCCCCCTCCTCTGGTTCCTCGTCTGCCTCCTCCTCCGCTTAGGAACCACTCGGCGCTGAGCCTGAGTTAGACAATCATGCCTGGTGATGCATCCAGGAATCTCTACGGTCTTCGGCCTCCTCCTCCTTCCTCTTCCTTCTCCCTATTCCTCCCCCTCCTACCCTGTATTCCACACCTTCCTCCGATTCGTTTCCCCGCATCCTCCTCCCTTGTCCTCCTCCTCATCCTGGCTGTTTCCCCTCACTGACAGATCGCTGTCTTCAGGGTCGGCGGCACCGGCCGTGAGGCCCTCGCAACATGTTTTGCCGCACCCGTGGCGCTGCCACGGGACGAATCGAGTTCAATAGCAATTGTTCCCGCCCCAAGGCTTTGCCACGGGACGAGCAGAGTAGATTATGTTTTTAGTCGCTCCCCTGGCGTTGGTTTGGGACGGGCAGAGTAGAACAGCAGTTGTCCCGACCCTCCAGGCGTCATCACGGGGCGAACCGAGTGCACTAGTAGTGACTTTGAGTTCCCAAGTGCTGCCGCGCGTCAAGTGAAACATATTGCATATTATAACAATTCTCCCGCCCCCCCCCCGCGTTGCCGCGGTCGAGACATATGCTTTCGGCCCCCAAGGGGTTACCGCGGGACGAGTCGAATCATTATGTGTTGGTGGCCTCCCAGGCGTTGCCACGGAACGAGCAGAGCAGACTGGTGTTCTGTTTCCTCCTTCCCAAGCGTTGCCGCGGGACGAAAAAAGTAGAATCGTATGGTGGTCCCTGGGCGTTCCCACGGGACGAGTAGAGCAATAATCGTTGCTTTTCGTTCTCCCAGGCGTCGCCGCAGAACAGGTCGAATAACATAGTACTTATGCTCGTTTCCCACGCCTTGCCAGGGGAAGGGTAGAACATAATCATCCTGTTTGCCCCCCCCCCCCCCCCCCCACACACACACACAGGTGATGCCACGGGCCGAGTAAAGAAGAATAGTACGTTTTTCGCTTCGCAGGCGTTGCCACGGGACGAGTTGAGTAGAGTAGTACTGCTTCGTCCCCCAGGCTTTGCCATGGGCCGGGTGAAAGTAGAGTCGTAGTTTTGCTTGCCTGCAGGCGTCGCCACGGGACGAGTCGAACACAACCATTTTCTTGCGCTTCTCAGGCGCTACCACGGGACGGGACGAGTCGAGCAGAATAGCTTCTGTCTCGCCACTGGGGCGCGCGGGCGGGCGGGCGGGCAGGCGTGCACGCGGGCGGGCAGCTCCACCCAATGCCCCATGAGGAGACCCACTGAAGGCGATATTTGACGGTACCCACAACTGGCCATCGCTCGGACGTCAATTTCCTGTGCTTTTTTCGGTTTCGTGCGTGGTTTTTTCGCGAAGTGATCAAGGATGCTCCTCGATGGTCCTCGCCGAAGGGAAAATGCACACGTCCGAGCGATGCCAAGACAACTGCATATGGTTGGGCCCTTCGTCTGGCGCGCCGGGGTCTAAAATGGCTCCCCGAGGTGGGAACCCCACGGTTGGACGCCTCGGCGCGGGCGCCCGGACGCAGTGAGAGGCAACCTCCGACTGGTGGCCGTTGCAAGGAGCTCCGGGAGGGCCGCGGGGCACGGGCTGGGGCGCGGCCGAGCTGTGCTGGTGGGGGCCGGTGGTGGGGCTGTGGGGTCGCGGGGTTCGGGGTCGTGGAGTCGTGGGGCTGTGCTGGGGTCGCAGGGTCGTCGGGCTGCGGGGTTGGGGGGTTCTGGGGTCGTGGGGTTTCGTGGTCGAAGGGTAGGGGGTCGCAGGGTCGTGGGGTTTCGGGGTCGCGGGCTGGTGTGGTCGTGTGGTAGTGATGTTGTGGGAGAAGGTTGCAGGGGGTTCGAGTGGTTTGGCCGGATTTCGTAATCCTGGGCTTCTGGTGTTGTGGGGTCGTGCAGTCGTAGGGTTGTGGGGTCGTAGGGTCGTGGGGTCTGCAGGAGTTGGGGTGTCGTGGGGTCCGAGGGCGGGTCCAAGGGAGCTGTGTCAAAATCCGAATTCAATCCCAAACGCTTCGCCGCCGAAACGTTTGGCATTTAGGGCGCTGGGGCGCTGGGGGCGGGTCTGGAACCCGAGTGAAATACCAAAGGCTTCGCAGGCGAAGCGTTTGGCATTTAACTCGGGCTTCTGGGTGTCGTGGGGGCGTGGGGTCGTGGGGTGACGGGGTCGTGGGGTCGTGGGGTCGCGGTGTCGTGGGGTCGTGGGGTTGTGGGGTCGTGGGGTCGTAGGGTGGTGGTGGGGCTGTGGGGTCCTGGGGTCGTCGGGCTGTGTTGGAGTCGCGGGGTTGTGGGGTCGCGGGGTCGCTGGGTTCGGGGTCGTGGGGTCCTATGGGATTGTTCTTGTGTCGCGAGGTCGTGGTGTCCCGGGGTTTCGGGATGTGGGTCGCGGGTTTTTGTGTTTGCGGGGTCGCTGGGTCGTGGGGTTGTGTGGTGGCGGGGTAGTAGTCCGTTGGCAGTGATGTCGGTCAAGAAGGTTGCGAAGGGTTCGAATGGGTTGGCAAAGCTTCGGAATCTGGGATCCGAAATCTAGAATCCGCAACCCAAAACACCTGCAACCCAGAACCCAAAGCCCGGAAGAATCTGGACCTGGAACCCGGAACCGAACCTGGGACCCGGAACCCGGAAGCCAACACCCGAAACCCGGAACAACCGAAACCCGGAATTTGGAACCCGGAACCTGAAACCCGCCATCGGAACCCAGAACCGCGGAATCCGGAACCGCGGAATCTGGAGCTAGTACGGAACCCAGAACCTGGAAGCTGGAACCCGCGGAACCCGGAACCGCGGAATCCAGAACCCGCCAGACCCCAGAACCCGAACCTGGGAACCGGAAGCCAAAATCCGCACCTGGAACCTGGAACCTGGAACCGCGGAATCCAAAATCGGGAACCTGGAACCCAGAACCCGGAACCCGGAACCAGGAACGCGGAATCCAGAACCCAAAGCCTGGAACCAAAACTCGGAACCCTTGACCCAAAATTCAAACCCGGAGCCCAAAACCTGGAACCAAAACCTCGGAACCCGGAACCCGGAACCTGGAACCCTGGAACCCCTAACCCGGAACCAAGAACGCTGAACCTGCAACCCGAAACCTGGAAGCAGGAAGATGGATAGAGCCTGTTTTTTAGTCCCCTGGGGCCGCACACTGTTTTCACCCCCCCTTCAAACTCCCCCTAGTTTCATGCTCCGAGCGCTTCCCGGCATCCACCGCCCACCGAAGCTAAGTTTTTTACCGTTTCAAAGCTTTTGCAAGGGTTCTTAGTGGCCTTCGGCTGGTCCCGCCGGCCGTTCGCTCGCAAAACCCACAAGAAGGATCTTCGCCCGCCCCCCCAAGACGCCCAAGATGGTCCCCAAGATGGCCTGCAAGACGGCCAAGATGGCCCGAGATGGCCCCCAGGACGATCCCTTAAGGCGGCCCGAGATGCCCTCCAGACGGCCCAAGCTCCAAGAGGACCTCCCAGAAGCCAGAATCATAGATTCCCTACGCTCTTTTACAATGAAATTAACGCCCATTATTTTCGAATTTCCGACGCTCCAAGACGGCCGCATAGGCCCCAAAGATCGCTTCATGAGGCCCCCAAGAGGTTCGCAAGACGGGCCTACAGACCTCCAAGACGGCCCTAGAGCGCCCAAAGAGGGGCCCACGACTGCCCAGATAGGCCTCCAAGACCGCCTCTGAAGGCCAGGGAGCCTCTCAGAGGCCCCCAGAGGCCTCGAAGAGGGCGCGAAGAGGGGGCTCGCAGAGAGCCCCCCCAGGAGCCCCCAAGTGGGCCTCAAGAGGCCTCCTCCTCCTCCTCCTCCTCCTCCTCCTTCCTCTCCTCCTGTCCCTCTCCCATATGTTCCCCAGAAGGGTTCCACAACAGCTTGGGGAACACATGGTCCAACGGCTTGGTCAGACTTGGGCCCAACGCTTGGCCGCATGGGCGCGTCCATAAAGGAAGGGGTGGCGGTGGTTCGCCATGTGCGTCTTCGATCGTATTTCGTGCAAGGGTCCGCATGGGTATTCGGGGGAGAATTACCCATATGAGACATCACGTTCTGCTTGGTGCAATCTGCTGCTTGCTGTCTGTTGTGATTGATCGAATAATGAAAGCGTGCGACCCCCACTTCCACGGGATGCTTGTAGACCATGAAACACCTCGTACCTGACACATTCATGCGAAGTGCCAGAGCCAACACTGAACATGTCAAATATCACAGTTGCATGTGACTCGTGGGGGCAACCATCGGAGACATCACGCCTGGCAGCGTTTTTGTTTGTACTGTCTGACGGTCCATGTCACGCTTGAAAAGCAAAAAGGGTGAGACAACGCAGTAGGCCTGTTGCGCTCCAGGCCGCCCTACCCTGACATCCGCCGACCCGGTCGGCGCGTACGGGGGGGAGTTCTGGGTCCGTCGTCCCCGGGTGTTCCCACGAGACGCTCTTTCCTTCGATTTGCTCTTCCATTCCTGGAGACTCTCCCGAGACCCTCTTTGGCGCGCCAAGCTTGTCCACTCGACGTGAATCAAGCCAGGTCGCAACCGAAGTCGTAGTTGAGTCGAGGGGGAAGCCCCTTCCCTTTGATCCCTTCCCCACCTGGGGGGGGATCCTGGGGTCCAGTGCGTGGATACCCACTTGTCTCCCAACATATATATATATATATGTATATATATATATATATATATATAGATATACATGTATATGTATATTCGTCTTCCTATATTTTTATAAGCCCGGGCGGGGGGAAAACCCATCCCCCCCCCCAAAAACCGGACTCCCGGGACCTGGGGCTTTGGGGCCCTCCGGACGGGCCTCGAAGCGGCCACTGGGCCTCGCAAGGCGTTTTGCCAAGCCTTCCCAGCACACTTAGGGCGATCAGGGGGTCATCGGAGACGTCCCAGAGACCCCCAACACAGCACAAGAGCGCTCCAAAAGTGACCGACGTGACCTCAAGATGGCCCAAGAGGCCTCCAGGACGGCCCCAAAGAGGCCTCCAAGAGCACTCCCAAGAAGGCCCCCCGAGGCAAAAATCATGGATTTTCTGGTTTTTGGTGAATTTTGGGGTTCTCCTCTTTTCGGCTTCCCGACGCTCCAAGACGGCGGTCTTCGGGGCGTCCGAAGCCGCCTGGGAGGCTCCCAAATCGCCCCATAACCATCCGAAAAGCTTCCAAGCAATCCAAGAGAGCCCCAAAACGGCACAACACGGGTCCAAGATGGCCCTCAGAGAGCCCCATGGCGGCCCAAGATGGCCCAAAGACACCTTCCGAAGAATTCCAAATCGTGATTCGGTCGTTCAGGGAGAGGGCGGTTGGAGGCAGGGTGGCCCGAGGAAGCCCCCGGAGGCCCCCAGAATACGCCCAGGAGGCCTCCAGAAGGCCTTAAGAAAGCCCGAATCAACTTTTGTGAGGCCCCTAGAGGCTCTCCAAGGAGGAGCCTCCGCAAAAAAGAGCTGAGGAGGATGGGGAAAATGCGCAGGGTATGGCGAAAATAAGAAACAATAAGCATGGAGGAAAGATAACGAATAACATCATTACAGCGGCGATGCCGGAAAAGGCAACCAGGAGTTATCGCTACATTGTCGGCTTGACCTTCCTGCCATGCCGCCTGCATTCCAAACTTCAAGGACAAAGGTGCATGGCGCGAAGCGTCACTGCAGTCTTGTATATATATATATATATAGTCGGTACAACAATGAACCTGGTGCGACCCCAATTATGGAACAGCTTCTTATGGCATGGGTAACGTGCTGGGCGCTGCTTGGAATGATGCATCCTGAGGACCCGAGGAGTCTCCTGGGAATGTGCAAAAAGTACCCCCCCGAGGCATCAACCTTTGACCAAGTAGAAGCCCCATAGGTAATTGGAGAATATTGGGGGACAAGCTGGTGCCCCCCCCCTTTGTGCGTTTTTGCTGCTTTTCTGCCTCCCCCCCCCCCCCCCTTGAGCTCATTTTGCTCCCTGAAGTGAGCGCCCGCTTGTTGAATCAGGGGAATTCGGGTGGCAGCCTGGGCTCCCCTGAAATGGGCACCCTGAACTGGGCACCCGCTTGTTCCCCAGGCGGGCTGGATCTCACCCAAGATGGCCCAAAGATGGCCCCCAAGGCTCCCAAGGGTGCCCCAAGAGGGCCGCAAAAGGTGGCCAGGAAGCCCCAAGAGGCAGGATGCCCCCACGAGGCTCCCAAGAGACCCCCAAGAGCCCCAAGAGACCCCCCAGAGGCACCACAGATGCTCCAAGAGACCTCGGCGAGAATGCCAAATAATTGATTTTACTAAGGGTTTAGCCACATGTTGGCCTCTTAGGGGGGGGGCTGATTAAGATGACTCCAAGAGCGCCTGGGAGAGCCCAAGATGACCTCCAAGATGGCTCCAGATATCCCAAGATGTCTCATAATGGCTTCCTCTCCCACTTCCCTGATCGAGGCAATTCCTCTGGGCATCGTTTCTGGATGGGCTGGTGGGGATTCGCGAAGCGTCAACAATTCGAAGAAATTCGGGGGGCCAGCCCAGGGCTCGCCGAGTTTCGGGTTGCAAGCGGGTGCCCACTTCAGGAGGTGTGGTGGGCACCAGCTTTCAACCAGAACATTGGGAAGATTCGGGGAGGCAGCCTGGGCTCCCCGAAGTTCGGGCGCCCAGTTCCCTCTCTGAAGTATGCGCCCGCTTGTTCCCCAAAGTTCGGGGCACTTCAGGGGGCCAGCCCGGCCCTTGCCGAATTTCGGGCCACGGGCGGTTTGCGCGAGATTCGGAGAGATTCGGGGGGGGGCTCCTGGGCTCCCCAGAATTCGGGGATCAACTCGACTTTCGGGGAAACTCGGCCCGCTTGTTACCCGACATTGGGAAACATTCGGGGAGGCGGCCTGGGCTCCCCGAAAATCGGATAACAATCGGGTGCTCATTTCACCCTCTGAGATGGGCACCTGCTTGTTACCCGGGACTCCTGAAATTGGCACCTGCTTGTTACCCGAAACTCGGGAGTTGTTTGAAAACACCAGCCTGTCTACAAATATTCGGAGATCCAAGGTAACGAACTATGGGTAACAAGCTGGTGCACCCCGCCTCCCGAACCCCCCTCTAGCGCGCCAAGATCGTCAACTCGAGGTGAATCGAGCTAGGTCGTAATTGAAGTCGTAATCGAATCGAGCGGACGCCCCTTCTCTTTGATCCCTTCCCCACCCTAGGGGGGGGAGGCCTGGGGGGGGAGGGGGGGCGGGGGAGGGGGCTCCCCGGGAGTGGGTCTGGGAGGAGGGTCTCGGGAGGGGTCCTGGGTCAGAATGCGGTCCCCCCCCTTCCTCTTTCGGGCCGCCTTCGACCGAATTTGGCCCTCCTTCGGCCCAAGATGCTCCAAGAGGGGCCTACGAGGGCCCAGAGTCGCCGCAAGATGGTTCAAAGACTCCTCCAAACCGCCCCGAGAGGCCTCCAAGAGGACTCCCAAGAATTAACAAATATTGAACTTCCGTTGGCTTTTTGATGCCTCTTGGCGTGTCTGCCCTTCCGGCTTCCCGACGCTCCACGACGGCCCCAAGACGGCCCCAAAGATCGCCCAAGGACTGCCCACGAGACCGTCAAGAGGGCGCCGAGACGGCCCCAAAGGCCTGCGAGACGGCCCACGAGGCCCCCAAGGCGGCCCAGAGACTGCCCAAGGACGGCCCAAGAGGGCAGGCTCCCGAGCGGCCACCAGACTGCCTCCAGGGGCCCCCGACCGCCCTCCAAAGAGATCCCAAGAAGCATCCATGAAGCTTTGGACCCACTACCCATGGGTCGGAAGAAGTAGGTAGAAACATGAAGTAGGAAGGCGTTGAAAGTAGATTGGGTGTCCGCCCGCCCCCTAAAGAGGACGGCAAAGGTGAAGCCACTCGATCATTGAAGTAGGAAGGCGTTCAAAGTAGATCGGAATCTGGGACTCCGAAACTACCTACTTTCAACGACCGATGGGTACCCAGGCACGGCACGGTGGCGGGAGATGCCGCAGGCCACTGGATCCGCCGCCCCCTGTTGGTCTTGCCACAGGTGTGTCTGGCGTGCTGGACGTCCGAGAGGCTGTTGGCTCTTGAAGCACCCTCAAGACTGCCCTGAAGCACCCCAAGAGGGCCCCAAGACAGCCCAAAGAGGCTCCGAAGACTGCTTCGGACGGGCTAGGACCGCTGTAAGACGGCCAAAGAAGCCCCCAAGAAGCTTTCGACGGCCCCCAAGAGGCTCCAAGAGGACCCAAGAGGCCTCCAAGAGGCCCCCAGGAAGCTCCCAGGAGGCCCCAAGGGTGGCCCCAGAGGCTCTCAAGAGGTCTCCTCATCCTTCTTCTCATCCTCCCTTCTCCCCCTCTCCTCATCCTCTTCCTCCCCCGCGTGTTCCCCGAAAGGCTTCCACAATGGCTGGGGGACGGCATGGTCCAATGGCCCAACTTTGCCCCAGCGTTTGGCCACATAATAAGCGTGTCCTAAAAGGCATGGGGCGGCGGTGATTCGCCGTAGGCGTCTTCAATCCGCCGCCTCCTGTTGATTTATCCCAAAGGGTGTCTGGCGTGCTATGCTAAATGTCTACGTAATGGTTTTTGGCTCTTCGAGAAATTCCCCCTGGGGCTCTGGCTCAGCGCGCCAGACACCCCGAAAGCTCTGGGCGGGGTGGTTGGCAAGGGTTTTTCCCTCCACGTGGCTCCAAGGTGCCACGAGATGGCCTACAAGACGGCTGAGATGGCCTCCAAGACGGCCAAGTAGTTGCCAAGTGAGCCCAAGATGGCTCCAAGATGGGCCCAAGACGGCCCAAGAAGCACCCACGACGGCCTAAGATGGCCTCAAGATGGCACAAGATGGCACAAGACGGCCCAAGAGACCCCCCAAAGGCCTCCAAGGCAGTCCAAGAGACCTGCAGGAGGTCCTGCTAGGTTGACCCGGAGGGATAAGAATCAGGGAGTTTTCTAAAAACTTCTGAAAAACTTAACCCTTTGCTTCTCTTCGGCCTTCCGACGGCTCAAGACGGCCGCCCCAAGATGGACCCAAAGGCCTCCGCGATGGCCCTGTGACGCCCCAAGAAACCTCCAAGACGGCCCCAAGAGGGCCTCAAGACGCCCGAGAGGCCTCCAAAACGCCCAAGATGGCCTCCAAGACTGCCCGAAATGGCCTCCTAGACGGCCCAAGAGGGTCCAAGATGCGTCCAAGAAGCCTCCAATGCGGCCCAAGGGGCCCCCAAGAGGCCTTCAAGACGGCCGAAGCAGCCTCCAAGAGGTCCTCCAGGAGGGCTGGAAGAGGCCCAAATCATTGATTCTCCTGCGGTTTTGGGCGGATTTTGCACTTTGCTTTTTTTCTGCCTTCCGACGGCCCAAGACGGCCCAAGAGGCCCCCACGACCGCCCCAGTATGTCCCTTAAGGCTTCCAAGATGATCCCGTGACGGCCCAAGAAGCCTCCAAGACGCCCCAAGAGGGCCTCAAGACGGCCCAGTAAGCCTCCAAGACGCCAAAGATGGCCTCCGAGGCGGCCCTGAAGCGCCCCAAGGGGGCCCCAATTTCAGAGATGTATCCCGGACGGTTTCCGACAGAGTCAGACGGGCCAGGAACGCCCTGAGACGGCCAACGAGGCCCCCAAAGGAGCCCCAAAAGGCCCCCAAGAGACCCAAGGAGGCTTCAAAGAGTCCTCCAGAAGGCTCGCAGGACGTCCCCAGGAGGCCCCACATGTCCTCCTCCTCCTCCTCCTCCTCCTCCTCCTCCTCCTCTCTATTTATCTCCCCCCCTCTCCTCCGATTCTTCTTTCTCCCCGCGTGTTCCCCGAAGGGTTTCCACAACGGCTGGGGGAACACATGGTCCGATAGCTTGGCAGAGCTCTGACCACAGCGTTCGGCCACCTGGGCGATCCCAAACGGCAGGGGGCGGCGGTGATTCGCCGCGGGCGTCTTCGGTCCGCGGCCCCCCTGCAGTCTTGCCACAAGGGTGCCCGGCGTGCTAGACTTCAAGAGAACTCCCCTTGGGAGCCACAAGGTGCCCGGCCTGCTAGACTTCAAGGTGCCCGGCGTGTTAGCCACAAGGTGCCCGGCGTGCTGACTGGCGGTTCTTTTGAGAACTCCCCTTGGGGCTTCGGACCCTTGCGCCGGCCACCCCGGGAAGCCCCTCCCAAATCCACCTCTCATGGCCCACCTCGCCTCCAAGACGGCACGGGTGGGCCAACACGGCCTCCGAAACGCGTCCAAGACGCCTCCAAGACGGCCAAGATGGCTCCAAGGAGCGCCCCAGGTGGCTCCAATTTGCACCCACGACGGGCCAAGACGCACTAAAGACGGCCCAAGACGACGGCCCAAGATGATGCCCAAAGGGCCTTTAGGAAGGCCCGAAGGGGCCCAATTCATTGATTTCTATAAGGGTTTGCAGAGATTTTGCCATTTGATTCTTTTCGGCCTTCCGACGGCCCAAAACGGACCAAGAGGCCCCCAATGTTGCCCCAAGATCGCCCAAGAAGCCTTCAAGGTGGCCCCAGGACGGCCTAAGAGGCTCCCAAGACGGCCCCCGAAGGGCCCCGAGACGGCCGAAGAAGCCTCCAAGACGCCAAAGATGGCCGTCAAGACTGCCGTGAAGCGCCCCAAGAAGGCCCCAAGACGGCCCAAAGAAGCTCCGAAGACGGCTTCCGACGGCGTCAGACGGGCGAGGAACGCCGCAAGACGGCCAAAGAGGCCCAAAGGAGCTCCCAAAGTCCCACAAGAGGTCCGAAGAGGCCCCCTAGAGGCCTCCAAGAGGCCCCCACATGACCCAAGAAGCTCCCAATAGGTCTCGTCATCCTTCTTCTCATCCTCAATTTTCCCCGCTCTCCTCATCCTTCTCTTCCTCCCACGTGTGCACAAAAGGGCTTGCACAACGGCTGGGGGAATGCATGGTCCAATAGCGTGGCCAACTCTGCCCAAACGTTTGGCCACATAGGCGTATCCTAGCATGCAATGGGGCGGCGGTGGTTCGTCGTGGGCGCCTTCGATCATCCACGAAGGAGGGGCCTGAGATCGCCCGAGGGCTCCAAGAGAGCCCCCAGAGGGCCGCCGCAGCATTTCAATCAAACCCTTGACAGTTCATACCAAGAACCTTTGGTATGACACTGCTTGTTTCGGGAGCCCTCATGGGGCCAGCCTTCGCAGGGCACCCTCTTCAAGCCTTTTGGGACTCTCAGAGCCCAGAAAAAGCTCCAAGAAGCCTTCAAGAGAGCCCAGAGGGAGCTCCAATGGGGGTTCCCAAAAAGTACTTCATACACAGCCGGGAATAGTTATAACACAATCAACAAGGCGATCACCTTGAATGATTTGCAGGCGGCGACTCCCAAATCTAATCATTAAGTGAGATTCGCCTTTCAATATTGGCAACGTGCGCGGGTGTGCACCATGGGCGAGGTTACCGATATGCCATACTTTGGCTTGCACGCCCGATGGCAACATTGGGAGGCGGATGCCACTAAATGCCCGGGTGCTCTTCCAGATTGATCCTTCACTGGGCCGCTGGCATGGGCGGTTCCAGGTCATGCCTTACGGCTTCGTTCCCACAATCGGATGGCTGACATTCGTCGCGCAGTACAGACGAGACGGCGTTCCGTAACATTGACAGGCGGACGTCACCTAATGCGACAGGCCCCGCCCGCTTCGATTCAACATCGTTTCGGCTTCCATCCCTGTGTTACTTTTAATATAATTCTTCACGCGGATGTGCCACCAAGGCACAGTGGCGGGATGGGCCGTGGGCAACCTAATACAAGAAGGGCCTGAAATCGCCCGAACGCCCCAAGAGAGCCGCCAGAGGGCTCCCACATCATTCTCCGAGAGACGACCAGGCTCGTCTCCCACATGGTCAGGATGGCGCTGCAATACCGCTGAGTCGATCCAAGATGCCCTCAAAGACGGCGAAGAGGACCCCGCCTGACCTGAGATGGCCCCAACATATCTCCAAGACGGTCCTAGATGGCGGCTAGAGGCCGCTATGAAGCATGAGGAGGCTCCCAGAGCCCCGAAAAGGCTCCCAAGAGGTCTCCTCTTCCTCCTCCTCCTGCTCCTCTCATTCCTCCTCCTCTTCATGCTCCTCCTCCTCCTCCTCCTCCTCCTCCCTCTCCTGTTTCCCCCCCCGCTTCCTCCACCAGCCGCTGCGAAAGCACATAGGCAGATAGCTTTGCCAAACTGTGCTCCTCGTCATACGACTCTTGGGAACCTCGTGGGGCTTCAGGAGAACTCTTCGGGGCGTCTGGTCCCAACTTTCCCGCGGGGACCTCGTCCCACGCACGGGCCGCACGGGTTATCAAGCGAAGCTCGCCTCGGCAACTGAGAAGACGGGTGCGCTTTGAGACGAATCGGGCAGCACCTGAAGCAGGGACACGTGGTGAACGCAAGCCTCCGAGGGCATCGCTGCCTCAGTGTGGTCATCTTCTCCTAGTAATCCTCCGACAGCAAAGCCAGAATGTCCAAGATGCTTGACGTAGAAGTTCAAATACCGGTCTCCGTTCAGAGTGCGCCCATGGGCAACTTTGATCTGCAACTTCCCAAACTTTAACCACTTCGGCTGCTCATCATGCACTCCCTGAGCCTTGAAATTGAGACCGCTAGACCCTATCGCTTCCACCCACTCCCCTGTGACATTCAATTCTTGGAAATACATGTCTGCGCATTGTCCACCCATTTGACGCGCATCGGCCTCCACACGAAACAACGCGTTCTTATGCCTTCCACGAGGGATGCTGATCAGAACATGCTTGCCCGGCTTCATTAAGTCGAACCGCTGGCCAAGAACGTTTTGCAAATGGGGATCGCCTGTAGCAGAAACGCTTCCGCCGGCTCCGCCCGCACTGGGAGATGCTACAGGGAATGTCGGATGTGGCGTCGGCCATCCCGCAGGATACGTCGGGCTGGGCGTCGGGCTGGGCGTCGGAAAGGCCGTCGGGTAGGGCGTCGGGTAGGGTGTCGGGCTGGGCGTCGGATAGGGCGTCGGGTAGGGCGTCGGAGACGGAGTGCCAGCGCAATTCAGGAGCACGGATCCGATGTTATCGTTCCCAGTCGGCAAAGGGAAGCAATAAGCGCCTGGCGTGTACGTGTAACCTAGGTTCACGTTCGTGATCATCGTGCAGGAGCCGCTGAGGACGAGAGACGATATCCCAGACATAACGCCGATCCATGACCCAACAGTGCTGTACGAAATGATAGTGCCAGTGTTGGAACCTGCGCACCCGTACTCAGACGACAGGTAGTGCTCGTACATAGACACTGTGCAAGAGCAGCCCGCACTAGCAACCCCACCGTTGATTGTCTTCTGGGAGGCTGGTGCCAAGGCTGGGCTTGTCGAGTTCATAGCTTCATGGCCGTTGGATACGTCCTGATTCATGGATATGATGTTCATCGCGGCGCCTCCGACTGACGGCGATAAGAAAGATACAGTCATCAGCCAGGTGGATCTCATTGCACCGGTGCAGAGTCACTGCGCTCAGACGTTCCGAGTGTTCAGTATGATGAATATCGGCGGTGGACAAACCTCCCTTTAGTAGACCTCCCCTTAGTGAAAACGGCCTGGGACCGAAACCGACGGACCTGGACCCGCAAAAATGACGGCCGCGACGCCCTCTCCCGAACCGAAAACGGCCAATTCCTTAATCGACGTGTCAGGGTAGGAGGTCTGTCCACCTCCGAGATGAATGGGATGCGTAAGTCTCGCTCGGCGATCGGTGGCTTGAGCCAGACTTGAGGCAGACTGGCCTCGGTGCAGCTGCTTCTAGCGCTGGGCGTGGCCCTGCCCACGGGACGAGTCGAGCAACTATGTGTTGGTCGCCTCCCAGGCGTTGCCACGGAACGAGCAGAGCAGACTGATGTTCTGTTTCCTCCTTCCCAGGGCGTTGCCACTGGACGAGTGGAGTAGAATCGTATGGTGGTCCCTGGGCGTTCCCACGGGACGAGTAGAGCAAGAATCGTTGCTTTTCGTTCTCCCAGGCGCTGGCCCGGGACGAGTCGAGTATAATCGTATTTATGTTCGTTTCCCAGGCCTTGCTAGGGGAAGTGTAAAACATTCTCAAATTGTTTGCCCCTCCAGGTAATGCCACGGGACGAGTAGAGAAGAATAGTACGTTTTTCGCTTCGCAAGCGTTGCCACGGGACGAGTCGAGTATAGTAATACTGCTTCGTCCCCCAGGCTTTGCCATGGGCCGGGCAAAAGTAGAGTCGTAATTCTGCTTGCCTGCAGGCGTTGCCACGGGACGAGTCGAGCACAACCATTTTCTTGCGCTTCTCAGGCGCTGCCACGGGGCGGGACGAGTCGAGTAGAATAGCTTCTGTCTCGCCACCGAGGCGCGCGGGCTGGTGAGCGGGCAGGCGTGCACGCGGGCGGGCAGCTCCACCCAATGCCCCATGAGGAGATCCACTGAAGGCGATATGGTTGGGCCCTTCGTCTGGCGCGCCGGGGTCCAAAAACGCTCCCCGAGGAGGTGGGACCCCCAGGGTTGGACGCCTCGGCGCGGGCGGCCGGCCGGACGCAGTGAGAGGCAACCTTCTGGTGGCCGTTGCAAGGAGCTCCGGGAGGGCCGCGGGGCAGAGGCCGGGACGCGGCCGAGCCGTGATGGTGGGGGCCGGTGGTGGGGCTGTGGGGTCGCGGGGTTCGGGGTCGTGGAGTCGTGGGGCTGTGCTGGGGTCGCAGGGTCGTGGGGTGGTGGGGTTGGGGGGGTTCTGGGGTCGTGGGGGTTCGTGGTCGAAGGGTAGGGGTTCGCAGGGTCGTGGGGTTTCGTGGTCGCGGGCTGGTGTGGTCGTGTGGTAGTGATGTTGTTGGAGAAGGTTGCAGGGGGTTCGAGTGGTTTGGCCGGATTTCATAATCTCGGGCTTCTGGTGTTGTGGGTTCATGCGGTCAGTTGCAGGGTCGTGGAGTCTGTAGGAGTTGCGGTGTCGTGGGGTCCGAGGGCGGGTCCGCTGTGTCAAAATCCGAATTCAATCCCAAACGCTTCGCCGCCGAAACGTTTGGCATTTCACGATTTTTTCGGGCTGGTCCGGGGTGCTGGGCGGGCAGTCTGATCAGGCTCCAGGGTGTCGGGGGGCGGGGGACGGGTCGTCTGGAACCCGAAGCGTTTGGCATTTAACTCGAGCTTCCGGGTGTCGTGGGTTCGCGGGGTCGTGGGGTGACGGGGTCGTGGGGTCGTGGGGTCGCGATGTCGTGGGGTCGTGGGGTCGTGGGGTTGTGGGGTCGTGGGAGCGTGGGGTCGTAGGGTGGTGGTGGGGCTGTGGGGTCCTGGGGTTATCGGGCTGGGTTGTGGGGTCGTGGGGTCGCGGGGCTCGGGGTCGTGGGGTCTTACGGGATTGTGCTCGTGTCGCGGGGTCGCGGGGTCGTGGAGTCCCGGGGTTTGGGGATGTGGATCGTGGGTTTGTGTGTTCGCGGGGTCGCGGGGTCGTGGGGCTGTGTGGTGGCGGGGTAGTATAGTCCGTTGGCAGTGATGTCGGTCAAGAAGGTTGCGAGGGTTCGAATTGGTTGGCGGGGCTTCGGAATCTGGGATCTCAAATCTAGAATCCGTAACCCAACACACCTGGAACCCGGAACCCCAAACCTAGAAGAATCCGGACCTGGAATCCGAACCTGGGACCCGGAACTCGGAACCCAACACCCGGAACCCGGAACACCAAGAAATTGGAACCCAGAACCCGGAACCTGAAACACAATGGCCATCGGAACCCGGAACCCGGAACCACGGAATCTGGACCCGGAACTTGGAAGCCGGAAGCTGGAACCCGCGGAACCCGGAACTCGAACCCGGAAGCCTGAACCACGGAATCCGGAATCCAAAGCCCAGAACCTGGAACCTGGAACCCAAAACCCGGCACCTGGAATCTGGAGTCCGGAACCAAACCTGGAACCCGGAACCCGGAAGCCGGAAGCCGGAACCCAGAAGACGGTTCGGGCCTGTGCTTTTAGCCCCCTGGGGCCGCACGCTTTTTTCACCCCCAACTCCCCCGTCATCCACCACCCCCCCGTGCTTATCACAGGGGTGCTTGGACAACTAAGTTTTTAGGGAACAACATGTCACATAAAGATAAAAACTCGGAGGTCCGCGCGGATTTCTCGGATCGGCGCTGGACCCCCCTCCCTGGCGCGCGGAGCGCGCCGGGGGCGGCGCCAGAGGCGCCGCCGGGGGGCCCCCGCGCCGATCCGAGAAATCTGTGCGGACCTCAAAGTTTTTATGTTTATGTCACTTTTTGTTCCTCTAGTTTTTTACCTCTTCAAAGCTTCTGAAGGGTTCTCAGTGGCCTTCGGCGGATCCCGCCGGCCATCCGCAGAACCCACAAAAAGGATCTTCACCCGCCCCCCCAAGACGCCCAAGATGGTCCCCAAGATGGCCTGCAATACGGCCAAGATGGCCCGAGATGGCCCCCAGGACGATCCCAAGACGGCCCGAGGTGCCCTCCAGACGGCCCAAGCTCCAAGAGGACCTCCCAGAAGCCAGAATCATAGATTCCCTACGCTCTTTTACAATGAAGTTAACGTTCTTTTTTTTTCCCCCCGAAATTCCGACGCTCCAAGACTGCCGCATAGGCCCCAAAGATCGCTTCATGAGGCCCCCAAAAGGTCCGCAAGACGGGCCCACAAACCTTCAAGACGGCCCTGGAGCGCCCAAAGAGGGGCCCACGACTGCCCAGAGAGGCTTCCAAGACCGCCTCTGAAGGCCAGGGAGCCTCTCAGAGGCCCCCAGAGGCCTCGAAGAGGGCGCGAAGAGGGGGCTCGCAGAGCCCCCCCAGGAGCCCCCAAGTGGGCCTCAAGAGGCCTCCTCCTCGTCCTCCTCCTCCTCCTCCTTGTTCCTCTCCTCCTGTCCCTCTCCCACATGTTTCCCCAGAAGGGTTCCACAACGGCTTGGGGAACACATGGTCCAACGGCTTTGTCAGACTTGGGCCCAACGCTTGGCCGCATGGGCGCTTCCATGAAGGAAGGGGTGGCGGTGGTTCGCCATGGGCGTCTTCGATCGTATTTCGTGCAAGGGTCCGCATGGGTATTCGGGGGAGAATTACCCATATGAGACATCACGTTCTGCTTGGTGCAATCTGCTGCTTGCTGTCTGTTGTGATCTAACTAATAATGAAAGCGTGCGACCCCCACTTCCACGGGATGCTTGTAGACCATGAAGCACCTCGTACCTGACACATTCATGCGAAGTGCCAGAGCCAACACTGAACATGTCAAATATCACATTTGCATGTGACTCGTTGGGGCAACCATCGGCGACATCAAGCCTGGCAGCGTTCTTTTGCACTGTCTGACGGTCCACGTCACGCTTGAAAAGCAAAAAGGGTGAGACAACGCAGTAGGCCTGTTGCGCTCCAGGCCGCCCTACCCTGACATCCGCCGACCCGGTCGGCGCGTACGGGGGGGAGTTCTGGGTCCGTCGTCCCCGGGTGTTCCCACGAGACGCTCTTTCCTTCGATTTGCTCTTCCATTCCTGGAGACTCTCCCGAGACCCTCTTTGGCGCGCCAAGCTTGTCCACTCGACGTGAATCGAGCCAGGTCGCAACCGAAGTCGTAGTTGAGTCGAGGGGGAAGCCCCTTCCCTTTGATCCCTTCCCCACCCGGGGGGGGGGGGATCCTGGGGTCCAGTGCATGGATACCCACTTGTCTCCCAATATACGTATACATATGTGTATATATGTATGTATGTATATATATATATATATAGTCGGTACAACAATGAACCTGGTGCGACCCCAATTGTGGAACAGCTTCGTATGGCATGGGTAACATGCTGGGCACTGCTTGGAATGATGCATCCTGAGGACCCGAGGAGTCTCCTGGGAATGTGCAAAAAGTACTCCCCCGAGGCACAAACCTTTGACCAAGTAGTTGGAGAATATTGGGGGACAAGCTGGTGCCCCCCCCCCCTTTTGTGCGTTTTCGCTGCTTTTCTGCCCCCCCCCCCGTTGAGCTCATTTTGCTCCCTGAAGTGAGCGCCCGCTTGTTGAATCGGGGGAATTCGGGGGGCAGCCAGGGTTCCCCTGAAATGGGCACCCTGAACTGGGCACCCGCTTGTTCCCCAGGCGGGCTGGATCTCACCCAAGATGGCCCAAAGATGGCCCCCAAGGCTCCCAAGGGTGCCCCAAGAGGGCCGCAAAAGGTGGCCAGGAAGCCCCAAGAGGCCCCCAGGATGCCCCCACGAGGCTCCCAAGAGACCCCCAAGAGGCCCCAAGAGACCCCCCAGAGGCACCAAAGATGCTCCAAGAGGCCTCGGCGAGAATGCCAAATCATTGATTTTACTAAGGGTTTAGCCACATGTTGGCCTCTCGGGCTTCCCGAAAGGCTTCCACAATGGCTGGGGGACGGCATGGTCCAATGGCCCAACTTTGCCCCAGCGTTTGGCCACATAATAAGCGTGTCCTAAAAGGCAGGGGGCGGCGGTGATTCGCCGTAGGCGTCTTCAATCCGCCGCCTCCTGTTGATTTATCCCAAAGGGTGTCCGGCGTGCTAAATGTCTACGTAATGGTTTTTGGCTCTTCGAGAAATTCCCCCTGGGGCTCTGGCTCAGCGCGCCAGCCACCCCGAAAGCTCTGGGCGGGGTGGTTGGCAAGGGTTTTTCCCTCCATGTGGCTCCAAGGTGCCACGAGATGGCCTACAAGACGGCTGAGATGGCTTCCAAGACGGCCAAGTAGTTGCCAATTGAGCCCAAGATGGCTCCAAGATGGGCCCAAGACGGCCCAAGATGCACCCAAGACGGTCTAAGATGGCCTCAAGATGACACAAGACGGCCCAAGAGACCGCCCCAAGGCCTCCAAGGCAGCCCAAGAGACCTGCAGGAGGTCCTGCTAGGTAGACCCGAAGGGATAATAATTGTGGAGTTTTCTACAACTTAACCCTTTGCTTCTTTTCGGCCTTCCGACGGCTCAAGACGGCCGCCCCAAGATGGACCCAAAGGCCTCCGCGATGGCCCTGTGACGCCCCAAGAAACCTCCAAGACGGCCCCACGAGGGCCTCAAGACGCCCGAGAGGTCTCCAAAACGCCCAAGATGGCCTCCAAGACTGCCCGAAATGGCCTCCTAGACGGCCCAAGAGGGTCCAAGATGCGTCCAAGAAGCCTCCAAGGCGGCCCAAGAGGCCCCCAAGAGGCCTTCAAGACGGCCCAAGCTGCCTCTAAGAAGTCCTCCAGGAGGGCTGGAAGAGGCCCAAATCATTTGTTCTCCTGCGGTTTATGACGGATTTTGCACTTTGCTTCTTTTTCTGCCTTCCGACGGCCCAAGACGGCACAAGAGGCCCCCACGACCGCCCCAATATGTTCCCAAAGGCCTCCAAGATGATCCTGTGACGCCCCACGAAGCCTCCAAGACGCCCCAAGAGTGCCTCAAGACGGCCCAAGAAGCCTCCGAGACGCCCAAGATTGCCTCCGAGGCGGCCCTGAAGCGCCCCAAGGGGGCCCCAATTTCAGAGATGTATCCAGGACGGTTTCCGACAGAGTCAGACGGGCCAGGAACGCTCTGAGACGGCCAAAGAGGCCCCCGAAGGAGCCCCAAAAGGCCCCCAAGAGACCCAAGGAGGCTTCAAAGAGTCCTCCAGAAGGCTCGCAAAAAGTCCCCAGGAGGCCCCACGTGTCCTCCTCCTCCTCCTCCTCCTCCTCCTCCTCCTCCTCCTCCTCCTCCTCCTCTCTATTTCCCCCCCCCTCCTCCGATTCTTCTGTCTCCCCCGCGTGTTCCCCGAAGGGTTTCCACAACGGCTGGGGAAATACATGGTCCGATAGCTTGGCAGAGCTCTGACCACAACGTTCGGCCACCTGGGCGATTCCAAACGGCAGGGGGCGGCGGTGATTCGCCGCAGGCGTCTTCGATCCGCCGCCCCCTGCAGTCTTGCCACAAGGGTGCCCGGCATGCTAGACTTCAACTGACAGTTGGTTCTTTTTAGAACTCCCCGCTTCGGTCCCTTGCGCCGGCCACCCCGGAAAGCCCCCCCAAATCCACCTCTCATGGCCCACATCGCCTCCAAAACGGCACGGGTGGGCCAACACGGCCTCCGAAACGCGTCCAAGACGCCTCCAAGACGGCCAAGATGGCTCCAAGGAGCGCCCCAGGTGGCTCCAATATGCACCCAAGACGGCCCAAGATGCGCTCAAGACGGCCCAAGATGGCTCCAACACGTCGGCCCAAGAGGACGCCCAAAGGGCCTTTAGGAAGGCCCGAAGGGGCCCAATTCATTGATTTTCATTCGGGTTTGCAGAGATTTTGCCCTTTGATTCTTTTCGGCCTTCCGACGGCCCAAAACGGACGAGATCGCCCAAGAGGCCCTCAAGATGGCCCCAGGGCGGCCTAAGAGGCTCCCAAGACGGCCCCCGAAGGGCCCCAAAATGGCCGAAGAAGCCTCCAAGAGGACCCCAAGACGGCCCAGAGAAGCTCCGAAGACGGCTTCCGACGGCGTCAGACGGGCGAGGAACGCCGCAAGACAGCCAAAGAGGCCCCCAAAGAGCCCCCAAAGGCCCCCAAGAGGTCCCAAGAAGCCCCCTGGAGGCCTCCAAGAGGCCCCCATATGACCCAAGAAACTCGCAATAGGTCTCGTCATCCTTCTTCTCATCCTCAATTTTCCACGTGCTCTTAAAAGGGCTTGCACAACGGCCGGGGGAACGCATGGTCCAATAGCGTGGCCAAACTCTGCCCAAGTGTCTGGCCACATGGGCGTATCCTGAAAGGCAGGGGGGCGGCGGTGGTTCGTCGCAGGCGCCCTCGATCATCCACGAGGGGCCTGAGATCGCCCGAGCGCTCCAAGAGAGCCCCCAGAGGGCCGCCGCAGCATTCCAATCAAGCCCTTGACAGTATCATACGAAGAACCTTTGGTATGACACTGCTTGTTTCGGGAACCCTCATCTGGCCATCGCTCGGACGTCCATTTCCTGTGCTTTTTTGGTTTCGTGCGTGGTTTTTTCGCCAACTGATCAAGGATGCTCCTCGATGGTCCTCGCCGAAGGAAAAATGCACACGTCCGGGCGATGCCAAGTCATGGGGCCGGCCTTCTTAGGGCACCCTCTTCAACCCCTTCTGGGACTCTCAGAGCCCAGGAAGAGCTCCGAGAAGCGCAACTCCCAAATCGAATCATTAAGTGAGATTCGCCTTTCGATATTGGCAGCGTGCGCGGGTGTGCACCATGGGCCAGGTTACCCATATGCCATACTTTGGCTAACACGCCCGATGGCAACATTAGGAAGCGGATGCCACTAAATGCCCCGGTGCTCTTCCAAATTGATCCGTCACTGGGCCGCTGGAATGGGCGGTTCCAGGTCATGCCTCACGGCTTCGTTCCCACAATCGGATGGCTAACATGCACCGCGCAATGCAGACGAGACGGCGTTCCGTAACAGTGACAGGTGGACGTCACCTAATGCGACAAGCCCCGCCCGCTTCGATTCAACATCGTTTCGGCTTTCATCCGTGTGTTACTTTGTAATATTAACTTTTTTCACGGGGATGTACCGGTACTGTGGCGAGATGGGCCGTGGGCAACCTAATACAAGAGGGGCCTGAAATCGCCCGAACGCCCCAAGAAAGCCGCCAGAGGGCTTCCACATCATTCTCCAAGAGACGACCAGGCTCGTCTCCCACATGGTCAGGATAGCGCTGAATTGCCGCCAAGTCGATCCGAGATGCCCTCAAAGATGGCGAAGATGACCCCGCCTGACCTGAGATGGCCCCAAGATACCTCCAAGACGGTCCTGGATGGCGGCAAGATGCCGCTATGAAGCCTGATGAGGCTCCCCGAGCCCAGAAAAGGCTCCCAAAAGGTCTCCTCCTCCTCCTCCTCCTGCTCCTCCAACTCCTCCTCCTCATCATACTCCTCCTCCTCCTCCTCCTTCTCCTATCTCCCCCCCTCTTCCTCCCCCAGCCGCTGCGAAAGCACATAGGCAGATAGCTTGGCCAAGCTGTGCTCCTCGTCATACGGTTCTTGGGGACATCATGGGACTTCAGGGGAGCTCTTCGGGGCGTCTGGTCCAACCCTTCCCGAACACCTCCGGCTGTCACCTTCATCATGGGGGTCTTCTTCCAGGGACGGCGGCATTGGCCGTAAGGCCTTCACAATATTCTACGCAGGGACCTCGTCCCACGCACGGGTCATCAAGCGAAGCTCGCCTCGGCAACTGAGAAGACGGGTGCGCTTTGAGACGAATAGGGCAGCACCTGAAGCAAGGACACGTTGTGAACGCAAGCCTCCGAGGGCATCGCTGCCTCAGTGTGGTCATCTTCTCCCAATAATCCTCCGACAGCAAAGCCAGAATGTCCAAGATGCTTGACATAGAAATTCAAATACGGGTCTCCGTTCAGAGTGCGCCCATGGGCAACTTTGACCTGCACCTTCCCAAACTTTAACCACTTCGGCTGCTCATCATATACTCCCTGAGCTTTGAAATTGAGACCGCTAGACCCTGTCGCTTCCACCCACTCCCCTGTGACATTCAATTCTTGGAAATACATGTCTGCGCATTGTCCACCCATTTGACGCGCATCGGCCTCCACACGAAACAATGCGTTCTTATGCCTTCCACGAGGGATGCTGATCAGAACATGCTTGCCCGGCTTCATTAAGTCGAACCGCTGGCCAAGAACGTTTTGCAAATGAGGATCGCCTGTAGCAGAAACGCTTCCGCCGGCTCCGCCCGCACTGGGAGATGCAACAGGGAACGTCGGATGTGGCGTCGGCCATCCCGCAGGATACGTCGGGCTGGGCGTCGGGCCTGGCGTCGGGAAGGGCGTCGGAAAGGTCGTCGGGTGGGGCGTCGGGTAAGGCGTCGGGCTGGGCGTCGGGCTTGGCGTCGGGTAGGGCGTCGGAGACGGAGTGCCAGCGCAACTCAGGAGTACGGATCCGATGTTATCGTTCCCAGTCGGCAAAGGGTAACAATAAGCGCCTGGCGTGTACGTGTAACCTTGGTTCACGTTAGTGATCATCGTGCAGGAGCCGCTGAGGACGAGAGACGATATCCCAGACATCACGCCAATCCATGAGCCAACAGTGCTGTACGAAATGACAGTGCCAGTGTTGGAACCTGCGCACCCGTACTCAGACGACAGGTAGTGCTCGTACATAGACACTGTGCAAGAGCAGCCCACACTAGCAACCTCACCATTGATTGTCTTCCGGAAGGCTGGTGCCAAGGCTGGGTTTGTTGAGTTCATAGATTCATAGCTGTTGGATGCGTCCTGATTGATGGATCTGATGCTCATCGCGGCGCCTCCAACTGATGACGATAAGACGGATACAATCATCAACCAAGTGGATTTCATTGCACCGGTGCAGAGTCACTGCACTGAGACGTTCCGAGTGTTCAATATGATGAATAGGATGTGTAGCTCTCGCTTGGCGATCCGTGGCTTGAGCCAGATTTGAGGCAAACTGGCTTCGGTGCAGCTGCTTCTAGCGCTGGGCGTGGCCCTGTCCCCGAACACTTCGCGCCGCGGGGCCATGCGGATAAGGGGGCGAGCGGGCGCGCAGAAGAGCGCTGAGCTCCTGGTGGGGCTGCGATCCGTGTGAGGGGTGTGCAGAGATGGGCGCGGGCCCGCCTGCGAACGCGCCCACTGAGGCCTAGATGGACCGTGGACCTCCTGGTGGGGCTGCGATCCGTGCGAGGGATGTGCCGAGACGGGCGCGGGCCCCCACGCGAAAGCGCCAATTCAGGCGTAGGTCGACCCCCCCCCTGATGGGGCACGACTCGTGGGGGGCTGTGCACAGGCGGGCAGACAGCCGCATGCGGAAGCGCCTCCTGAGACCGTGGGTGGATCGCCGCGTGGGGCACGATGTCACGATGTGCGTGAGGGACGTGCCGAGATGGGCACGGGCCCGCATGCGCCCACTGGGGCCGCAAGTGGATCTCACTGCCAAGATTAAGTCGGGCGTGTCCCCCAACAGGGGGATTTTCGATGAAAAGAACACCTACAACTGCGCTAAAATTGTCAAAAAATACCCCGAAAATAATCACTGGATTATTTTTTGACTATTTTTGGATATTCCCCCTGTAGAGGGACAGGCCCGACACAATGCCACGATCTGCGTGAGGGGTGTGCCGGGATGGGCGCGGGCCCGCACGCGGCTGCGCCCACCGAGACCGAGGGTGGACCCGCCTGTGGGGCACGATGTGCGTCAGGTAGGTGTGTGCGTCGCGCATTAAGGGGCGCCGTCTGAGAACGAACAACGCCCTGTATAAATGGCCACTGAGGCCAGTTAGCCCACCAGGCGAGACCACTGAGGTCCGCAGACCACTCTTATGACAGAAAGCGCGAAGCGCATCGATCATAGTGGAAGGAAACCGCACAGAAATGTAAAACATCAAAAGACCACAAACAACATCTGTGTGTGTGTGTGCGTGTGTATGTGGGTGTGTGCGCTTGCGTGCGTGCGTGCGTGTGTGCGTGCGTGCGCGTGTGTGTGTGTGTGTGTGTGTGTGTGTGTGTGTGTGTGTGTGTGTGTGTGTGCAAGTGTGTGTGTGTGTGTGTGTGCTCCCGCTTGAGACTTCCTCGCAATTGAATCAAGGCTTCCTCGCAATTTAATCAAGACCCCCGCTCCCGCCAGAGAGCCCTTCATATATTATTCATGAATTGCGCTCTCGCCTGTGACCTCCATGCAATATGTTCAAAAATTGCGCTTTCGACGCTCAGGAAACACGCTGCGCCAAGGACGCCGTTACAATTTACTTGGTAATCGCGCTCTCGCCATACTCAGGCATCCCGCTTGAATGTCCCACCCGCCCGACCCGCCCGTCAGGGGATCGCCCGCCCGTCGTGGGCTCCCGCCCGAAACTTTCTTCAGGAACGGCGCTTTCGCCTAGGACTTCCTCGAACGTTCACACACTTACCTTCCTTCTCCTCCTCCTCCCTCTCCCTCCTCCCTCCTCCCTCCTCTCCTCCCTTCTCTCTCCCTCCTGTCTTCCCTCATCCTTATGCCTCTCTGCCCTATCCGGTCTCCCTCCTCCCTTCTCCCTCCCTTCTCCTGCCTCCTCCCTTTTTTTTGTTTTCTCTCTCTCTCTCTCTTTCTCTCTCTCTCCCCTCTCTCTCTCTCTTTCTCGTTTTTTTTTGTTGCTTTTCTTTTTTTTTTCTCTCTCTCTCTCTCTCTCTGCCTCTAATCAACCGTCCCCCTCTTCGCTCCTTCTCTCCTGGCGTTTTCCCTCTTCCTTCGTCCCTCCCCCTCCCTTCCTCCCACTCTCCCTCGTTCTCCCCTTCCTTTTTTTGCAGGGCCCACACCACTTCCAATGGCAAGCACATGTACGCCCACGAAGGATTATCCGCCCGTTCAGTTTTGCCCGCTTGTCTAAGCCCGCCGCCCCCCGCAAAGAGAAATAATCCCCCCAAAGGGGGTGTGATCGAAAACAAGAACGGCGGGTATCGAGGGTGTGGGGAGCTTGTTTTGAATGACACATGGGCAAGTCAGAACGACAAATCTTGAAATGATTGTTGTTGTTGTTGCTGTTGTTGTTTATACTCATTTCTAAATAATAAGTGCTGGTCTCCGGAAGCGGTTCCGCGCGCTCTCGCCTCGACGCCGGCTATATTTTCTCTGAAAACGAAGCTCTCGAGCGTTGGCTTGAGCGTAAATGTGGGCCCTTGGAGGCCCAGCTACGACAACAACGGCTCCCGTTCGATACTTCCTCACAATTTACCCCGAGACACCCTGGCCCGAGAGGCCCCCGAACTCAGGAACGGCGCTCTTGCCTGAGACTTCCTCGCAATTTCATTAAGTTGGCGGAAGCCCAGCCACGACGACAAAGGGCTCCTGCTCGATACTTCCTCACGATTTACTCCGAGAACCCCCGGTCAAGAAGGCACCCGAACTCAGGAACGGCGCTCTCGCTCGAGAGTTTTCCGTAATTCGGACAACTTGGTGGAGGCCCGCACACGGCGACAAAAACTCCCGTTCGACATTTCTCCATCGGTATTCTGGGAGCCCCTGGCCAAAGAGGCCCCCGAACTCAGGAACGGCGCTCTCGCTCGAGACTTCTTCGCGCTTCAGTCAGTGGCCGACAAGGAAGAGATTCCCCCCGAAAGGGGCGCAATCGAAGACGAAACGGGCGGGTATCGAAGGTTGGGGTATACGGAATGCAAAACACGCGTGCCAGTAAGAACGAACAGTCTTAAACTGACTGTAGTTGTTGTGGTTGTTGTGCTATCATTTCTGAAAAACAATTATTGTTGATGCCCCCCGCCTGGTGCACATGGTATTTTTTCGATTGGAGTGACACTCCCGGGGCTCGCACCCGGTTTTTTTCTAGGGAAAATCTTGAAGCTCAAACTGTATCGCTGGCCCCGGGTTTACAACAACAGCGGCTCCCGCCTGATATTTCCTCACAATCTATTGAAGAATCGCGCTCTCGTTTGGGACTTCCTGACAATCTACCACCGAATCGCGGCTCCCACTTGATACTTCTTGACAAATTATTGCAGAATCGCGTTCTCGCTTGGGACTTCCGCGCAACTTACCACCGAACCGCTTCGCTTGATATTTCCTTACAATCTATTCAGATGCCGGTCCTCGACACTCAGGAATCGCGCTCCCGCTACATATTGCCTGGCGGTTCAAGCAGGACTCACGCTTCAACGACCCGCCCGCTGGACCCGCCCGTCGGGGCCTGCCCGCCCGACCAGCCCGTCAATGACTGCAGTCGACGCTCGCTGCCCTTCGCCCGCCTTCGATGCCCCTCGCTGCCCGTGCTGGTTCCGCGGTCGCCTTCGCTCGCTGCCCTTCGTGGTCCCGTTGCTGCCCTCAGTGGCTCCGTCGCTGCCCTTTGTGGCCCCGCATTATATGCCCTTCGTGGCCCCTGCTCGCACGCGCCCGTCGTGGTCCCATACGCATGCCCTTCGTCGCCCCGCTTTCGCCCTTCGTGGCCCCCTCGCTGCCCTTCGTGGCGCCTTTGCTGCCCTCAGTGGCCCCACTGTTGCCCTTTGTGGCCCCGTATACGAATGCCCTTCGTTGCCCCCGCTCGCTCGCGCCCGTCGTGGCCCCATATGCATGCCCTTCGTGGGCCCGTTGTCGCCCTTTGCGGCCCCCTCGCTGCCCTTCGTGGTCCTGGTGCTGCCCTCAGCGGCCCCGTCGCTGCCCTCTGTGGCCTCGGATTTTATGCCCTTCGTGGCCCACGCTGGCTTTTCTCACGATTTACTGAGGAATCGCGCTGTCGCTCGATACTTCCCGGCGATTCATGCAGGGCCCACGCTTCAGCAACCCGCCTGCTCGACCTCGTCGCCTGGGCCCGCCGTCACGACCTGCCCGCTATGGGTCTGCCAGCCCGATTTGCCCGTCTGGTTCTACCACTTGTTTTCTGCTCCTTGCTCCCCTCATGCTACTTTTTTCTCGTGCTCCATCATTCTCCCTCTCCCTTCCACCCGTCCCCTCTCCCCTTGTTTTCAGGGCTGCGCTAAATACGCGTGGCAGGTAAGGAAGATATGCCCCCAAGGGGGTTACGATCGAAGAAGTCGAGGGCGGGTGCCGAGGGTCTGGGATACCTATACGACCACCCTGCGGGTGATAAGGAGGTTGTGGGGGTGGGGGGGGGGGGGGGGCTCATGACGACAACTGTGGTGAATGTGGTGCTGATGGCCGATGATGGTGTGGATGACGTGGCGGATTTTTTTTGTTCTTTCGCTTGGGCGTTTTGTGTCATTCGGTTTGCCGTTGCGCGACGCGGCACTTACCCCACGACGGTCCAGTCGACGATGCGTGCACTGGCAGGGCCTGGTGCGTGCGTCCGGACCGCTCCAATCCTGCCTTGGGAGTCACGCTGGCAGTGCCTGGCGTTGACGAGCACCCTCCGCCCAGCGTCGGTGGAGACGACTGGCTGTTTGTGGCGGGCAGTGCCACTTGCTCAGCAGGGACACTGCTGCCAGGTGCACTGGCAGCGCCTGGTGCCGTGTTGGCCTGCACTGGCAGCGCCCACGTGATGACCATGCCATTGTCAGGCTGGCGCGTGTCCCTGGGGCGCCATGTGAATTCTGGGTGGCTCTGAACGAACGCCTTCAAGCCCCCAGCCCATGATACCAAATGAAAGTGGCCGCCGTCCTCAGAGGAGGGAGGAGAGGAGGAGGAGGCGATGAATGGCAATCGAACCTCCGTCCGAGCAAAAAGGCGACGAGCTGACTAGCGACAGACAGGACAACGGCGGGCAACCGACGGGACAATGCGGGCCACCGCTTGACACGCGCCGGCGGGGGAAACATTTATGTTGGCGAACCACTAGCGACAGACAGGACAACGGCGGGCAACCGACGGGACAATGCGGGCCACCGCTTGACACGCGCCGGCGGGGGAAACATTTATGTTGGCGAACCACTAGCGACAGACAGGACAACGGCGGGCAACCGACGGGACAATGCGGGCCACCGCTTGACACGCGCCGGCGGGGGAAACATTTATGTTGGCGAACCACTAGCGACAGCAGAATGAATTCCTCTCGCCCGCGCACGCAACTTCGCCTCGCCCGCACGC